TCAGTGTTGCCCCCGTACCGGACCGGGGACCGGCAACGGGATTGCAAGCCTCGGTGTTGCTCCCGCGCCTCGCTCAGCCAGTGAGCGGGATCCGGTCTGTATGTGGGATCCGAACCCTCGGACGGGAGCGCCAGCCGCACTTCCCAAGCGGCGCACTATCCAGTGCGCCACCGGGCCGGCCCCACTCCTGTAGTACTTGATGGGAAGTGACAACCCAAGCTTACCTGGCTTGCTGGAATGTGAGCAATCAGGCCTGGTTTCTCCAGAGTTTAGAAGCCTCTGGGTGGGGGATATTCAAGTACATCACCCCTGAAATTGTGTTCTAGCTTTAGGGTTTTAGATTCAGTCACTATTCCCTCCATTCATTCTGGACCAAAATGGCAAAGTCATTCAAATGTTAGCATTTGGGAACAGTAACATGTATGAATATGGAGTAAAGAACATCAGTTTACTTACTTTTTGCTAACTTTTACACTGACTTGCCTAGAGGAGATAGTGATAGCTAGCAAAAGGAATCACAGCCTACTGCTTGTTTAACAGGGTAGGCTGCCTGGGTTCAAATTGAGGCTGTGTGACCTCAAACAAGTTGGCCTTCAACTTTGTTTCTTATGTAAGGTGTTAATGATTAGTATCCAGCCCCGGGGTTGTCATGAAGGTTAATTGATATGTGACAGCTTGTGCTAAACAAGTGCTTAAGTGTAAGCACCTGACTATAAAAAATTTAATGCGTGGGGAAAAATTGGGCTGTTATAGTTCCCATAGCAGATCTTTACTTACAGAGGATGATTTCAGAGTGACTCAAGAATAATTAGCAAAATGATCAAATCCTCCTTTTTGACCACCTTTTAGTCTTACGGTATTGGTTGTTTTGAGAATGAATGGATGAAACTAGCACCTCACCATGTGATTGGCGCATATATCCAGCTCTTTGCATAAGATTGATTTGAATCCCAAAGCCCTTTCTCTTTTCTACTCTAACCCAACAACACACTTTGAGAAGAAATGTAAAAGTGATCGTGGTTAAAGTTCATCTCTAGCAATGTGCTTAAATGCAAATTGAAAATTTAAGGAGATTTTAATTTTTTCCTACTACATCAATGACATGGTTTAAATTATTAGTTGGTGGCTGAGTAAACTGGTATAACACCTGGGCCCCGGGCTAGGAAAGTAATTTTGTAATATGTATCAAGCACCATGGGCTCACATCTTATCCTTTTCCCTAGAAATTCCAGATTTGGGAATTTAAGAAAGTTTACGTCTGTCTTTGAAATTATCAGTTTCTTTGAAAAATCCTTAAGTGGGTATCCATAAGTATTTAATGGATGGTTATGAAGTCCTTGTATATAAACATGACACAATGTTAGGTGAAAAATCAACATGAAGTAGCATGCTGTACATACATATATATGCATAATATATATAAGGATACATGCGCAGGGGAAAAATACATGAATACTTTGATTATGATTGTGAGTGTGGTAAAGTAAGAGGTAACTTTTTTCTGTATTTTTCCCATGTTCTAAGTTTTCTTAATATGATTGATACTTTTGCTTTTGGCAGCTGGCTGTTATAGGGATATGAATGTGATGAATACTTTTATACTAAAGGAAAACATTTGATGTAGCACATACTACTACTGCTTTACAGAGGGAAAAAACAGTGCATTTGATCCAGAAGGGTTCTGATACAAGGCACTTGACTCCTAAAAAAAATAAAGCTAATGATTATTTCAAGCAGGGTTTTTTTCTGCTTCACCAGAAGTTGCACTCCGGTGAAAGGGAGATGAGTGGAACATGGAACTCAAGAGCACCAGTGGCTTCAAGTCATGATTTTGCTGGTGCTGGACCAACACTGTGGAGTGTAGAGTCCACAAGCCACCTGTGCTGGCCACCAGTGCCTCCTTCCTGCAGACAGTGCTCGTGGAGACAGCATTCCTGCGGCTCCTGTCTGATCATCAGTCAGCTGCATGTGAATGTTTAACTCAGGAAGCAAGAGCCTTGAGCACTCACCCACTCACCCACGTCCCAGTGTCGTGGTAGTTCTTGAGCGTTAGCTTACTGAGATCAGCATCAGAAAAAAATACATTGATACCACAAAAAGACAGGTGGAATTTGCTTGCCTGCACAGTTATTTTTTCATTCACCAACAGATCTTTATTGGACCCTTATTATGTCTTAGGCATTGTTCTAGGCTTTGAGAATATAGCAGTGAACAAAACACAATAAGACATCTTCACAGACATCTTATGTTCTAGCAGGGGAGAATAGGCAATGAACAGTAAGTTATAAGGAAAACAGTAGTTTTCAGAATCGAGCATGGATGTAAGATTATTCATTCATTAATCTAAGCCATTCATCCAAACTTTTTTAGAGCCATCATTCATGTGCCTGGTCCTATTGCTGAATAGAAGGGACAGAGCAGTGGACAAAATATAGTTGCTAGGACCCATAGCTTCTAGTCTAGTGGGGAAGACTATGTACCAAGTGCTGTGTTGGTGTGACACACAGAGAAACCTCTAACTCAGGGCTGGCCCCATAGCTCACTCGGGAGAGTGCGGCGCTGGTAGAGGCTGTGGGTTCGGATCCTCTATAGGGATGGCCGGTGCACTCACTGGCTGAGCGTGGTGCAGACAACACTGTGCCAAGGGTTGCGGTCCCCTTACCGGTCCAAAAAAAAGAAACCTCTAACTCAATTTTGAGAGAGCACAAAAAAATCAAAAAGTATATATTTGAGCAAGTTAATTTCTCCGAGCTTCTTTGATAAACATGATAAAATTGTCGTGAGGATTAAGTGTGAAAGTACACAGCATACTGTTGGGTGTATGGTAGTAT